CTCTTGGCGGCAAGCTCCCAGGGGGGAAGCGAGAGGGGGGTGGACCGTTTCCGAAGAGCTCGGAGGATGGGGCCCTCTGAAAAAGTGTTTTAAGTCTGCCCAGAAGGTCGGGGGGAACGAAAGGGAGGAATAGCAAAGGGTGGTCGATTGACCCTGGCGGTGGTGAGAGAAGCGAGAGATAGGATATGTTTATCTGATCATGCAAAGAACGAAACCTCTGGACGCGTCCTTGAGTGAAACGGTTGCGGCGGGCAGGCGGGCAATACACACGCATGCGCACACATACATATACACGACATACCCTACACTGCGACTCTGGTATCATTCCTCATCATCGCAGGCCTGACTAGATGAGGTCCGCGTGAAACAACTCAAAGCCGACCACAACGTTGACGTTAATATAGGTATGGTGGCCGAGCTCGAGCAACACATACTACCAGATGAAGGAAATGATAAACCGTATACAGCTCAGTATGTAACCGCATCAAACACTGAGTGAGCGTCCAACACCACATGAAAATCCAGTCCACAATGTCCAGCAACCGTTGAATGTAACGACGCAGCCGTCTGAGCTCCTTTCAGCCATTCCTCCAGAAAACCATTCGAAAACATGCCATACTCGGTAGCCTCGATCGCGTTGTTGAGTTCAGCGCTGAAAGTACATCTGTTCACCTTAGCCTGCTTGCGTGAAGAATATCCCATACTGAAAACATTAGGAGGGAACTGCTCCACGAACTTCACACAATCCAATGATGGCCGCCCTCAATGCGAAACAGTCCACATCATCAGCTCGATAGGCACTGTCAGCAACCACCGTCGAGCATGCATTTTGCGGACGGTCGACTGAATCTTATCGTCGAAGTTACTCGCTTAATACACTTCAAAACTGTATTGCGGTCCTTTAAATATGATACATTAACATCCTTCATAATGCGCTGCAGCTTTCCGACATGCACCAAAATATCTGCCCTCGTGAGAACCGTCCATGCTACACCTCCCAGCTCCTCATTCGCCTTGTCCGATTCGGCCTGCTTGTCAAACATTGTCGCGGGAATCGGCTTCAAGTGGCTCACGCAGCGGTTCTGGTCCATTGTACACTCCATCGTCTTAGGGCCCTGTCGACGCTGAATACCAACGCATTCAAAATGGGCTTCGATCGACCCGACTTGCCGCATTTCGCCTCCAGTCGTCGGAACAGCTCCACTCGTGCAGCCCCCTCGCACGCGCCTTTGAAGTCATCCACGTGAGTCGCCAACACTCCGAGCGGAACCATGTCATTTTCCATATAAGGTCTGCCGGTGATCGGGCATGCGCCGCCCTTCCCCGCCGCCTTGCGACGCTTGATGCATAGCTCGGCGCCCGACCTCGCCGGCTGCCAGCTCGCCTCCGCGAGCGCCACGGCAAGAGCCATACTCCACGACCACGGCGCATCCTTCGCACCAAAGCCTGGCATATTCATACTCAAGACCTCGGTTATCTCGCTGAGGTCGTGGAAGCCCTCGATCTGTCGCAACGATATGTTCTCCAGCCAGCAGATCGCACTGTATCGATCTCAGAGCGGTAACAGTCTCAGCCGCGATCTGCTTGAACGTCTTTCCTCTGGGAAACGCCGTGGAAATTTCCGTTGGCCATGACTTCCACTGGTAGGGCGTCGCCATTGAGCATGCAGCTCGCTGCCCCCATCTCGATGCCGTGCCAGCAAATGTCGCGAGTGACTCGGCTTGTCTGTCCTTGAAGCCGCGAACTGCCAACCTCGCCTTGACCTTGCGAACTCCACCTGTCAGTCTGCACTTCAGCACCTATCTACTGCCCACTAAGTTAGTAGCTCTCTTTCGCGCCACACTAGTGAACACGCCCATGCCACACCGTCGCAGCAATTCCAGCAGACAAGCTTCAGCAACATCACGCGCATACTTGTTGAGCTCGTCCTTTGTGAGGACGTTCACCTCGCGCCCGATAACTGTCTCAGTACAACCACCCATCGCATCGCATCGATGTGTCATGACGTAGCCCTCAAGCACCGTCTCGCCACAGCAATTAAGTGTCGCGATAGCGCCCATGCCGAGCTCCAAGCACTCACAATTCATCTTCACCTACCTGACACAGTACCGTTGGGAAAAGAAGCCCAAGTACTCGAACATCAGGAGGTCGCGATCGCTGAGCCAGTCCGTCCCAGAACCCCTGCGCATTCTGCAACACTCGCCAAAAACTCTGCATCGGATATCGCGTCTTCTTGTTCGTCTTCATCATCAGACAATCGCTGAGCGACATGAAGTCTAGGGTTGCCGCTCTCCTCCGGTCCCGGGGTCAGCGACCTCTTGAAGCCATGCGCGTCGAGCAATATTCTAGCAAATTGTGGCCCCGGATTCTCACTGCCTTCAAATGCTTCCGCGCGAATGCTCTCGATGCCATTCCAGCGCGGCATAAGATAACCATCAGATTGATCAAACTGCTCGCCCACGCCGCCAACATGTGCTGCTCCAGGTGCCTGGCGTCTCGCCTGTCGAGCTTCATCTTCGGCAACAAACAGGGGCTGTAGGAAGGGAGTGTTGGGCCGAAGATCACCAAACAGATACGGCGTCGATATCCTCAGAGCACCTGGAACCTGAATCCACGACCAGTCTTCTCGGCGTCCAACTTGCCACCACATAACAACCGCTGCTTCTGTGCCGGGTGTAGCTTCAATGTGCCGAACTCCGTGACAGACGCGAATGCTGATACATCCCGTCAACTGGAGATGGCACGACGCCATAGCGAAAGCTGCTCGCATGGGCCCAGGCAATCTCTGTCCATCCTGGCTTATCATCCAGCCGTGCTCGCTAGAAAACACACAGCCGAAGTATAGCGATCCCTGTTCGATGCTCTCCGCGAAGTTCATGATGCATTATTCCGCCAGCTGCGTCCACTCCTTTGCGCGAGGTTCAGACAGGAAAGTCCGCAACGCCACCGCGCGTCGAATTTCAGGCAACCGGACTTGCATATTTCTGCCCTGCCATCTTACTCCCACGGTACCTTCTCGCATACGCGTAAGGTCGGTAACCACTGCGGGTCCTCGCCAGCCACTCCAATGTGTTGGGGGGGTCGCGATGTCGACCTCGTCGCCTACTTTGAGCTCCAACAGTTCTCCAGCTGGCCTGGAACGTGAGTTAAGCGCTCTCGATGCCCTGTCCGACGCGGTGCCTTGAATGATAGCTGCCAGCGATGCTTCGCGAAGCCTGTGGATACGACGCGAAACACGTGCGATGCCGTCGCTGCTGTCCGCCAACTGCGTCTCTGAGCCTGGCTCGAACTCGCGCAGCATCGCTGGAGAACTGCCAGACAATCCTTTGTAGGGCGATACTCCGTGCACGGACAACATGCAGTTCCTGGCCAGCACCGATTCGTCGACCACAGCCTGGGGCGCAACTGCGATGCCATCTCTCTCCAGCTGTGCGTTCACCTTATGCGCTGCGTCGCGCAGACGGGCATTGTGGCGCTCCACGATACGAGCGAGTGCGCCCCGAGGTCGCAGGTTGAGTCGAATGCCCCGCCGACCTGCCCACGCCGATGACAGTTCGGAGTCCAATGCGCCTCCCTTGTCACTGGTGAGCACACGCATATGACCGAACGACCTTATCCATACATGGGTGATGCCGTTCAAGATGTCCTGGGGTGTGCGGCTAGAGAAGAAAAGCGCCGCCGACCACCTAATACAGCAATCAACCAAGTGCAGAATCGTGTGGGTGCTCCAGAACATCAGGTCCACCTCCACCTCCATGTTAAAGTCGATCACGATCTTGGTCTTCGACATGGGCCTGACTCCGATATGCTGCCACTGTCGACATACTGGACAAGTGTCTACCACCGACGCCACCATATCGATCGCCTCTGGGGGTGAACCAGCTGCTCCCATGAGTTCCTTCATGCGTTCGATCGGGGCGCGCCAGAGCCTAATGTGTACTTTTCGCACGGTTCGGCGCACAACAATCGGACCCAACGGTTCGAGAAGTTTCAAAGCTCGACCAGCCGACCAATCAGACCAATCTGCTCCAGCGGGATCCGCCTGCGTGCTAGCCTCGATCCTGGTCGCCCCTCGACTCCGTCGATCAGCTGCAGGAGGACGCCCTGCAGGGTGAGCAGGAAGAGGTGATGGCGCTGGTGCATCGAGTGGTACGTCACCTCCTGCCACTGCCACTAATTCAACCGCCGCTGCTGGTCCTGCTGCTGCTGCTGCTGCTGATGGCGCCGCTTGTGGCGCTGAGGGTTACAATTCACTAAGTCGCCCTCCTCCTCGTTCAGCAGTAGACGGATCTGGAACGGCACCGCGCACTCTAGGCTGTCGCGGTAGCTCAACAGATGATCCAAGTCCTCGGTGCGCAGCCAGCTCCCAACGACAACGACCGCCCCCAGCATGCGACACATGACTTCTTGGCTTACCTGCCTTGCACCCAGGGCAATCGTCGCCCATGGCCCGCGCGTTGGGGCACGTGCAAAGACCGCGTCGCGTGTGAATAGGATCATGCGCTGACCTGTTGCTGTTACACGCTCGGCATATATATATATATATATATATATATATATATATATATATGCCCCCCGCTGCAGATCGACGCGCAGTCGCCGGCACGGCGCCCGCCGCCGGTGGCCCCGAAGCCGCCGCTGCCGATGACGATGATGAGGACGCTGTTGGTGGTCGACCAGGGTCTTCACCTCCATCTCGATATCGCGCTCCAGTGGCGACCTCAGGATAGTTAAACGCACGTGAGCGTCTTTCGTTCTGGATGCTGGCGCCAGCAACGCCGCACAACACACGCAACTCATTGAGCGATGCAGCCCGCGCGCTTCCACGGCCACACCTGCATCTTCCTAGATATTGAACCGTCTGCGTGCTGATGTTTGTCACATGCCCGTTTGCCCTCGCACCGTAGCCGCCGTAGTGAAGATACCAGTGCCTTCACCGATAAACCAGTACGCGGGCATCGTAGTCCAGCTTGACATGGGTGAATGATGGCCTCTGCGGT